GGAATATAACTGAATCAAACAACTCTAGAATGGCCTAACAGCTTAAAATATAATGAACTGATATTTCAAATTAAAGAATCCAGCAATGCAGCTAAAATGTTGCTCGTCGGTGGTTGTTATTCTGAGTCAGAGAGTGCCACGTATTGAATATTCCTGCCAGGACACCACCCTGGTATACTTTCCTCTACTGCAGCCCTGGTGTGTCACTCATGTTGAAGTCTGCCAATAAGTCTAGGGAAGTTTCCTACGGTGTTAAGAACTATTCCTCACCAGGATTCTAAAGTCAAGTTTTTTCTTAAGTACCAGTTGCCCAAATGTCTTTGGACAAGGCTTCTGGCACAGACTCGTTCAGGAAATAGGGAGGGAGGAACACCTATTTTATATTTTAAGTGAAAAAACACACAAGAACATTATGCAATAACAAAAAACAAATGGTTGGCTAGTGGTAAGGTTCAAGTTCCACCTCTGAACTCTGTGCCTTTATTTTGGTCATAGAGGATGCTGTTATGGGTTCTCAAGGTATAGCAACAACAACTAATAGGATAATTTCACTCGACTGCTTAACTTAATTGCCTTAAAATGAAATATGCCAATGTTACAATTGAAGACAAAACTACTTATTTTCTGTTCCTTGTTAGAAGTGAAAGAAATTAATGGACAGCAGATTTGCTGTAGAATAACAACTGTTCTATTCATTTGTGCTTCTGCAAAACATAACCCTGGAGCCCAATATATACCAGAAACTTAAAAATTATTGACCTAGATTAAGTTTCCTGTATGGATTAGCCCTATGAGTTAGCTTCACTGTTTGGGGGCATATTCTCCTGAGTACCAACACAGTAAAATTTAAAAATCTGAGTTTTCATGAAAACTTTATAAAACAGAAATAGTTCTAGAGACTTTCACCTACCCCTAATACCTCAGAGTGGAGGGAATAGAAGATGGGTGAAAGTATATTTTGATGCTAACTTAAAATTTGTTTGATACTTTATATTTAACTTTTAAAAAACATAATATTAAAATTTGAATTATACAAATGTTATTTTGGCATACAACAATTTTTAAATTATTCATTATTGAGTAAAAATGGCACCACCACACCAGTCCAGTGGGATTACCTTATTTATTCTGTGACTTTGAGGATCCATGATTTTACCACTAGGGAACTTGGCATACACTAGAAGCAGAACTATAGACTCCCTTCTATTTCTGACTTCTTAGTGAAATTTTCTTCTCTTGTAAAGAATTTTTAAAAATTAAAAAACTATAACAACAAAAAACTCCTCGATAACTAGCTACATTTGAAAAGTAAATTCATGTTCATAATATAATAGGTTTTGATGTCAATATATACCCATTTTATAGGGATATCTTCAGATTATTTCATAATCCAAAGTAAATAATTTACAAGTGAGGATTCCAGAAACAATAATAGGAGTTGATGGCGATATTTTTAGCCAAAAACTTAAGTTTCCCTCTGACAGCCATCAAATCATATCACTTTCTACAAAGTGTACAGCACACAGTCCTGCTCTGTTTCCATGGTCTATGTAATACCAATGCCTCTACTATTGGAAAGAATGATTCATATGTATTGAGCACTTATTTAATTCAGGCACGTGCTAAATGCTTGTGGCTTGTCTCATTTAATCCCCACAACAATCTTCAGAGAGGCAGTGCAGTATTTTCATCTCCATGTTACATTTGAGAAAACAGAGGTATACTTTCAATTTTCACTCACACTTCTAAACTCCAAAAGAGATCTGATTAGATCAAGTCTCATTTAAAATAGAAAAGTATATATGTAGTATAAAGTCTAGAGCTTTGCATTTGCCACCAAGTGTCTTCATCTAATTACCAGTTTGTGACCCTGGGCAAGTGGCCCTAAACCTCAGTTTACTCAATGACATGTCTCTGTCAGTCAGAATCAAATTGGTTAAGAAAACAGCTTACTTGACATCGATTTGTATTTGGGGTTACTGAAGTTTAGAAAATCAGTGCTTATTCTAAATTTAATTCTCCAACAATAGCTATTTCTCAGTCTCTGTATTTACATTGATTGACATGAAGAAGATCCATAAATATTGCCATAAGATTCATAATACATATGACACTTAATTTTAACAATATCACTGGTTGTGGTGGTTATTACCATTAGTTTGTAAGCCATAAAGGAGACAAATATATTTATAAATTGAAAGTATGTATTAGCTCAAAAAAAGAAAGGTACATTTTTCAGTAATTATAGCTTCATACATAAATAGCCTAAGTATATTTTAGTCTTACTTTTTTTCAATAAAATATTTTTTCAGTTTCTCTTTTTTTTTCTTATTGAAATATATTGCAGGCCGGGTTCAGTGGCTCAGTCTGTAATCCCAGTACCTTGAGAGGCCGAGGTGAGTGGATTGCCTGAGCCCGTGGGTTCGAGACCCACCTGGGTAACTTGACGAGACCTCATCTCTGCAATAAATCAAAAATTAGCTGGGCTTGGTAGCGCGTGCCTGTAGTTCCAGCTACTTGGAGCTGAGGCGGAAGGATCACCGGAGCCCAGCAGGTCGAGGCTGCGGTGGTTGGGAGCAGCCACTGCACTCCAGTCTGGGTGACAGAGTGAGACTCCAACTCAAAAAAAAAAAAAAAGAAAAGAAGAAGAAATATATTGCAATTTGCTAGGGTGATATATGTTTGTGTTTATATACTATACACACATATGCACACATATATACATAGGTCTGTGCAAATATATGCACACTGTTATATATTCTTGAAATCTAAGCAATTTGGAGAAATATTGTTGGGAGAGTACTTATTTTTTTTAATGTCCAAGTATTAATCAATATTTATTGGTTACTGTGTGAGATGCAATAAATCATACTGAGAAGAAAGATACACTAAGATTGTACATAGGAAAATGAGATGTACACAGGAAAGGCATTCCTTGGCAAGCTATGAAAGCAATGAATACCTAAGTATTAGCAAAGAAGCCTAAGTAATGTCTGATGGGATTGAACTATGACCCAACACATTACAATTTTTCTAGCGATTTATTTGTGTAATTTTGAAGACAGAACTGAGAAATGACATTATGAACGCTAAAAATGAGGAGAAGCAGGATTTGCAACATATTTGCCAAGTAGTGAATCACTTCAAATACATAAAGTAGAAAAGGAATTCCTTGGCTTATGGGTCAAAGAACTGAAATTTGATGGCCTTCAACCTCCCAGCTCTGCCCATTCCATTTTTGATCTTCATTAAATTTCTTTAACTTTTGACTTCTCCAACTTTTAGTTGTGGCGATCCTCTATTTGGCAGCATATCCAATCATCCTTGTAGGCTTCTTACTTCCTGTTCTTTGTGTCTCACCTGTACTGTGTAACCTGTATTGTGTTCTAGGCAATGAGTCGACCTTTAGACTAGCCCTAGTTCTGCTAGATAGAGATGCTCAATTAGGAGTTGAATTGAGGCCGGTCTCAGTGGTTCAGCCTGTAATCCCGCGCTTTGGGAGGCCGAGGTGAGTGAATTGCCTGAGCCCGCAGGTTCGAGA